CCCGACATTGATTTACTTTCAAGCCGTTGCGATTAGATGGGTGAGTCTGAGGCAAAATGAACAGATTGCGTATATGTTGGCAGTCTCAGTACAAAGCAATTTGATGATCCTATAATGGCACTGCCCATAAGCTAGAATCAGAACGTGCCAAGTTCAAATAAAAATAAAAGACAAATTCGAGAATCGCAACATATCGGATTACGTTTATAAAAATAATGTCTCACAGGAATCGCCACAACAATCACTCATATGGCCAGCATAAAAACCGGGAAAAGACTGGAAAATTTAACAGGTGCATAGTCTGATATGATGCAACCATCCGCTTTCACCAAGTTATATACCTTTACCCGCACAAAGAAGAAAAGTCATGTAGAGAACAACGAAACGATTGTCAGCAGCGTCACTGTTCAATACATACAAATAAAACGTCAGGAAGCTTTCCAATAATCTTTCAACTTACCAAAAAAATCTGTATTTATCATGCACAACAGAAATTAAGCTAACAGAAAATCGTGTATCTACCTTTGTACTTCGACCTATATAACCACACGTGAGTCTCATAAAATAACGAAGTATTTGTCAAAATGGAGGTTGTTTCTTTCCTCCACTGTCGCGTCTTCGGAAAAGTCATTTTAGCAGGGCTATTATTTGACTTTGGCTTTCACAAAATGTTCATATATTAGTTATGCGACCTTGTATGAACTTTGAAAGCCACGTTATCGTCACATGAATGGAGGGAACATGATCGAAGTGTTATCATGTCATTATAATTATATACATATGCTGGATATGCTGACAACAATTACGTCACTAAATTTCAAATTCAGAAATGATCTAGGATGTGATGCACCCCTAAAAGAAGATGGAATACATAAGATTAATATTGCTTTATGTCTTAAGTGAGAGTAGAACATTTCATAGTGATAATAATTAGATAGAAATTGCTACAATGACACTTCAACCCTCATTTCATACTAGTTACTGGTTATATTGTGGTTAAATATGTTATCTTAAATCATCGACACTACAACTTTAGCAGGTATTATTACCACAAACCTTAATCAATATCAAAATAATTGGAAAATCTTCTGAAAGTACGGCTTCTTTAGTTCGACTTAGACGTAATAATTCCATCACAAGATTGCGTGCGCTGATTGTACATGTCACATGGTACTTACAATTACAAATCTGTATGTAGATTAACAAATCGACTTGCCGGTAGACGAATATATATAGTACGTGGATCCAAATATGCCGTTGCAAGGTAACAAGTGTCGCTTGGTAACCACGTTTTTGTGCGGCACAACTCGGTCACTACATGGGCATTGTAACCAAATTCCATCCAAAAAATAGGCCAATGCTATGGGTCAATCCTAAATAAGAGGTAAAAACAAACAAGCAAACAAACACCCACACATACACTAACACACATTAAAGGCTAATCTATTTTATTCCTGTAGGGGTTTGGTCAAGTTTCATCAAAGGAATCGGTCAATGCCCGGGATCAATGCTAAAGTCATCTCAAATTCAAAACCAGGCATTTTCAATAAATCGGGGAAAAGTCTAAACAAGTTTAAATCGTATGTTTAAATAAGAAAGAATTTGAAATGTTTCTTCTCATACATATCTGGATATTAAAATTAATTCCACAGAAAAACTTCACAAACAGAGGAATGAAAGCTCTATTCATTCTATAACAGCAATTATATTCAGAAACAAATATGCCTGTAAAAGTATATCTAAAGATGTTTGATGCAGTGGTCAAATAAATTTTGCTTTATTGCTTTGCGGTTTGGTCATGTGATAACATGAAACAATCGTCAAACCTATCAAACTGCACAACACCAGCAGAAAAACTCCACCTGAAATTCTGTAAATTCTTTCTAAAAGTTGGCTGTAAAGCCACAAACATCGGTTGCCTAATGTAACTTGGTCGCTACTCACTGCTCTTAACAAGTTTGACCCAAATAAATATTGGCCGACAGTTTCTAATAAGCCGGAAAATACTAGTACACTGGTCAATGAATGTTACAGATTATGAGTAAAAACTGATGAAACAGGCACTGACAACTGGTTATCAAGTATTAAACGTCCACTCAAATTATTAAACATAAGTGACATATGGAATAAAAGCAGTGATAACCATGACAATATAATCTCTAGATTTAAAGAAAAATTGCAACTGCTCTAACAAAAAAATGTCGAGGAATCACTGTATTACGACAACAAAGGCGGAAACCACAAAAATAAACTACGAACATATAGAGAAATAAAACAAGATTTCACCTTTGAAAATCTAGACACTATTAATTCAAAACACTGGTCGGCGATGACCAAACTAAGAATCAGTGCACATACACTGCAAATAGAACGAAGAAACACAAATATTGATCTCATTCAAAAAAAATGCTTGAAGCGGGGTATTTGTCAACTACGCATGCGTCAGGTGGCCATAGCGTGCTATTGTTTACAAACAAGCCTCCACCCATGGGCCTTTGCGTTCTTAGCGTGTGTTGTTATAATCGCTTGGGACTCAATTCTCGGGCGTGCGCAGCAGGTGACAACCCACCCGCTTCCACCCGCTTTAATCTGCAACAATGGTCAAATCGAAGATGAGACACACTTCCTTCTACAGTGCAAATATTACAAAAAAGAGAGAGATGACCTCTTCAAAAAACACAACATACTCTAGGACAATTCGACTATGACAATTTGATAAACTTATTAAAAGAAAAACAAATATTAAAAGAGTTAAGTAAATTTATTTACCGTGTTTTACTATGAGAAAAGACAGTTTAAAAAAGGATTTCCAGCTGTCTCATAACAAAGAAACACTATTTTTTATTATTATACACAGCCACATACATTGGCTTCAAAATTGGATAAGGAGAGAAGAGACCCAATGAACAAACACACACACAAACGCAAACACACCCAACACAAGAGTAAGGGTCAAACTATCTATGCGCTTAGGCCAACAGAAATATGCCTTTTACGTGTAGGAGCTTGATTCCTAGCACTCATATTCAGACTACCCGGTTGAGTAACATACTGAACTTCTTTGAACCATGTCATGCAATATGTCAAATAGACGATAAGGCAATCTCAGTGTGTCGCCAGCATTTTTTTTAGTTTTAAAACATAGATCGGCCAATTTCTCTACGTCCACGTTGTATTTATATTACCTTGACTGGCTTCAAGTTCACACAATAGCAAGAAACCGAAGCCAAAATCGTCATACATTCTCAACACTCGAGAAGTGCCGGCCTCATACTTTTACAACAATGTTGGTCTCAAACATGGATAATGTGGTGTTTGCATGGACGGTCACTTAGCATAAAAAATTAACAACATAACAACATTTTGAACAGTTTGAGGAATAATCATATATAAATATTGTTGCTTGTTTATAGCTGATAATTGATCATTATGACGATTTCGTGCAGTCCCTGCAAAATAATAAGTCTTAAATACTCCGCTTGAGTGGTAAATTGTGGAGGACACAAAACAGTGTCTGGGAGCTAAAAAACATTGTTTTTCGGAAGAGCAAGTTGTAGAAAGTCCAGCTGATTTTATTGTTCTTTTGGGCGCC